TTTGATGCGTGTTATTACTCAGCTTTACATTGTGGACACCGTGTTCGCAATGTTATCACACACAACTGAGAAGGATTAAAATATCATTCCTTATTTTGTGTGTATTTTACTTCTCAGTACTGCCTGTTACACACTATGTCCTCAATGTATTCAAATACAGAATGGGATTAGATGAGTAAATGGTACTTTTATTTATATCAACAAATACGTGATTACTTTTTCTATTTGTACTTTTGTTCAGTATGTAGCATTATTGTGTAAGGATATATAAGTGTTTTTGACTGATTTACTAAAATCTTACATCAGAAGCTACAAAACCATTCCAAATCTTTGATTCGTGTTACTACTCAATGGTGCTTTGTAGACATCATGTCCACAACGTTATCACACACAACTGAGAAGAAGTTAACATAGCATTCCACATCTTTGATGTACGTTACTATTCCATGTTGCTTTGTAGATACCGTGACCACAACGTTATCACACACAACTGAGAAGAAGTTAACATAGCATTCCACATCTTTGATTCGTGTTACTACTCAGTGGTGCTTTGTAGACATCATGGTCACAACGTTATCACACACAACTGAGAAGAAGGTAACATAGCATTCCACATCTTTGATTCGTGTTACTACTCAATGGTGCTTTGTAGATACCGTAACCACAACGTTATCACACACAACTGAGAAGTAGTTAACATAGCATTCCCCATCTTTGATGTACGTTACTATTAAATGTTGCTTTGTAGATACGGTGACCACAACGTTATCCCACACAACTGAGAAGAAGGTAACATAGCATTCCACATCTATGATGTACGTTACTATTAAATGTTGCTTTGTAGATACGGTGACCACAACGTTATCCCACACAACTGAGAAGAAGCTAACATAGCATTCCACATCTATGATGTACGTTACTATTAAATGTTGCTTTGTAGATACCGTGAACATAATGTATTTTTACTCACTACAGACAGTGTATAATACAATATAAAAGTTGCTTTGTGTTCTACTATTAAATATTGTTTTACTCTCTAACTTAAACAATATGCGTAAGGAATTTGATTTCATTGTTTCTTAATTGTTCCATAAAAACCTCCAAACCTAGCGATAGGACATTGAACCACAAACAAGCATGCATCTCCTGTTCTATAGTTAAACATATTTATTGGATATCTTTTGTATGTATAAGTGTATCACTATTCGATTACAAGTTCTTAGCCTCAAAATACCCTTTTGTTGAATAAAATAGTTCACATTTGTCATGCTAAAATAAAAAACCTATTGTCATGCCGATATAAAAATGCTATATAAGGATGGTTATCAACAATGTGCTATTCCACTTTAAAGTTGTAGTTTGTAAATAGTGTGTACAAAATGTACGTATTACAAATTATTATGAAATACTCACCTTTTTATTCTTTTGCTCCCATGGCAAATTGTGGATATAGTAATCGTATATCATTTCTTCCCTGGTGAAATATCCCTGTTAATTAATAAAACAACATAATGTACATATGATAATAGCGTTATCATGGTTTGTAGTCATAGGCATTTAAATAATAATAACTTAACTTACTTGAGGCAGTAGAGACAGAGTCGTAGCTGTCCATGGATCTCATTGGAGTTGGCGATACCTCGTTTCGCATGGTTTACAAGTCGACCTAGACGTGCCCCTGTGGTTATTTCTTTCCTCGTTCGATACTTAAGGATGTACTCTTCTGAGGTTTAAATCACGTTCAAGTCTCGTTTTGATCTGGTGTAATGGGTTTTCAGCCCACCATCATCTGATGGTGGGCTATTCAAATCACCCTGCGTCCGTTGTCCGTCCGTCCGTGGTCCGCCGTCCGTCCTTAAACAATTCTTGTTATTGGTATTTCTCAAGAAGTACCAGAGGGATCAGATAAACAACATGTCCGACAGGCAGCCATCTCGGATTTTGATAGTGAAAGTTTGTTATCGCTATTTCCCGGGTAGTACTACAGGGATCCTTCTTAAATTTTATATGTAGGTTTCCCTTGGTCCCTAGTTGTGCAGTGCAACTTTTGAGACTGATCGGATAAACAACATGGCCGACAGGCAGCCATCTTGAATTTTTGACATTGAAGGTTTGTTAGTACTATTTCTCAGGAATAACTTGAGGGACATTTCTCAAATTTGATATGTAGGTTCCCCTTGTTCCATCGTTGTGCATGTTATATTTTGAGACTGATCATAAAAACAAAATGGCTAAAGGAAGAACTAAACAGATCTTTCTCAGATTGCAATAATCGATTATATTTCTTTCACATTAAGTACTGTACTAGTAAAGATGTGAAATGGCAAACTCACTTTGAAGGTTGGTTTTCATACACATCAGTATTAAGTTTAGATCAAAAGTTACCTCAAGGTGCATTTACTGTTAACATGACTCGATCAAACAGATTAGAGGAAAGAAGAGAAAAGATCGAACTGACAAAGAACTAATGAAGATGGTACAATGGTGGGCGCCAAGATTCCTCTGGGATCTCTTGTTGTAATATTAAACAAATTATAATCAAGTTTATTAGCAAACACGCATCTGAAAAATATGTCAAAAAACTGTGCCTGTTGTTTGTAGAACGTTTTTTTACAAGAAATTAAAAAAATACCAATTCGGCGACCATTTTGTAAATGTGTATCAATGTGTATTTCTTTCGCTTCCAAAAAGGCCAAAATTTCACCTTTTTTGACACTAGATTGATCACTTAAATTGTCATTGTGTCGCCATTTTTAATTGTAGCAGTAACATTTTTTTCAATCTATGCAGCTTGAAATCCAGTCACTGATTATAATATTGGCCCCATGCCAGCCACCGGTAATTAGATTGGCACACTATCTCGCCAGTCAACGGTAATAAGATGGCCCACTATTCAGCCACCACTATTCTGTCAATTTGCTTTTCTATCTAAAATTATCATTATGGCGTAATCATTTTCGGACCGGCTACATTCAGGTGGTCGCAACTTTTCGATCTTTTTTCTTTTCTGTCTACTTTCTGTTTCATGCTGTGTCTCCCTAGGCGCCCTTCCTTATATGACCCTTGCTGTTGTCTCCCTAGGCTCCCGTCCTTATATGACACTGGCTGTTGTCTCCCTAGGAACCCGTCCTCATATAACCCTGGCTGTTGTCTACCTAGGCACCCGTCCTTATATAACCCTGGCTGTTGTCTCCCCAGGCACCCGTCCTCATATAACCCTGGCTGTTGTCTCCCTAGGCACCCGTCCTCATATGACCCTGGCTGTTGTCCCCCTAGGCACCCGTCTTTATATGACCCTGGCTGTTGTCTCCCTAGGCACCGTCCTTATATGACCCTGGCTGTTGCGACGACGTTAAACCCTAAACAGACAAGCAAACAAACATTTAGGTGGTCTACCAATCACTATATTTATTACCCTGTGCAGGCCAGGGGGATGATAAACCTGCTCAGTCTTACTGCATGTTGTAAGAAGCAACTAATTTTGGACCCCTGCAGGATTGGGGATTTTATTTTACGTCTTCTGTTGATGACAGTCCACCTAAATGCATCTCTTGCCTCCATTGCAACACTTAGGATTTTTTTTATTCCTTTCCTTTTTCCTTTTTCTTTCCCGCTTTCTTACTATTTATTTGCAAAAACGACTCCCAGAACAACCCATTCCTGCAGGTGCAGGGGAAGTAAATGCCTGCTGAATTCCACTACATGTCGTAAGATGCGACTAATGTGGTATTATTCTGCAGAAACTGGGGTCTTTTTCTGTGTCTTCTGTTGATTTGCTGCCCCCATTCTCAACATTTGGGATCTTTATGTTTTCTCTCTTTTCCTGAAACCTGTTCGTTTTCTAGTGTCTTGATTGGCAGTAACTCACTTCTAGTTTTAGTTTTCAGCGTTCGCCCCAATGGGGTAGGACTTCGTTTATCACTGCTTAACGTTATGCATAAAATGTTTTCTCAACAACTGACTCGGTGTCAGTATGATGTGCACATCATTAAATGACAATTGCTGTTACTAGGACGTTAAACAAAATCAAATCAAAACAAAACTAACCCTAGACACCCGTTTACATGTTACCTTAGCTCGTGCGAGAATATTAAACCCCTGACTAACTTAGAAAAATAAGTCTCCCTAGACGCCCGAACCTTTACAGAAAACATTGATTTGCATGTTTGTAATATGTAAATCCATAGAAATATGATAAACTGTTCTATAAATGGTTACAACCACCTTGATCACGGGTCGGGACGGACATGGGCAACACTATATGCCCCCCCCCCCCCCCCATTTTATGGAGGGGCATTAAAAAAGAAAGGCAAAAAATTACAGAATTGTATATAAGTATCAAATATTAAATATGTTCCCGAATTCATTATTCCAAGTACAGACATTACAGAAATTTTCAAATTTCGCTGACTGGGGGCTGAGGCCCTTGACAAGTGATGACAAGACGGTTAAATCACGTGGTTGAGTTAAATCCTATGTACTTGGTCCTTATGCTTGTAATGGTGTTTGTGGGTAACAATGACGGAAGTGTTCAGGACGCATACAAATACAGTAAGGCAATACAAAATATACACCGGTAGTACACACTCAGTTCTTTTATTTCAAAGATCGAATGTAGCTTAGATATTACATGTCGACTGTAATAAGTATAGTTCGGTAGGTGTTAAGCTGCACATCCATGATGGCCGTTGCGTTTTTTGTTCGGTTGAAATTTAAATATTGTGTAATTCCCCTTGAATTTAATGTGTAGGTGTATGAGTCATTGCAAACACGCCTATGACTTCCTGATATAACAGTATGGTACAGTAAAATATCTCCAGATTAATCGTAATTTGGATAGTGTCCGATTTTGCTAAAACTTGATATGTGCGTGTATTATTAAACTGCGAGAGTTTTCCTATCCATTGTTTGGAAACCTTGGGCCAGTTTGGGGTTATTATTTTGCGGCGCCAACTACAATTAGAATTTGTTTTAATTGTAATGTTTTCCTGTATTTTCAGAATGGCGTCCTTCATTAAGGTATTACGGCAGCTTCTAATCCTGGTACTTGTCCTCGCTTCCGGCATGTTGGTCTGGAATTTCGATCGCCTAACTACCAGCAGAAAATACCAGCATTATCGGAAAGCCTTATCTTGGAAATTAACAAATGATACGAAAAGCAATTTGACCGACGTTCAATATTTAAAAATTGATACAGGAAACTGGTCAGCGTTCCCGTACCCTTTGAATGTCGATATGGTTGAGCTCGTGCGAAAACTGAAGTCAAATATACCCGTGGAACACAAACCTTTATTTGTATACCAATACAACTTTAAGCACTACCGCATAGACAAATGTGTTGATGGTTCGCCATTTTTTATATTTCTCATCAAATCCGCTGTTAACAATGTGAAAAACAGGGTGGCGATCAGAGAAACCTGGTCACACTCAAGTCTGATGGAAAAATATAACAGCGTGAGATTGTTTCTGGTCGGAACCCCAGACACACAGCTTAAACGATCGGCTGTAGAGGAAGAAAATGACCTCCATAAAGACATTATCATAATGTCATTTCGTGACAGTTACCATAACAACACATTAAAGACAATCGGAGCGATTCATTGGACCGTACAGCACTGTAACCGTTCTAAGTTTGTAGTTTTTGTCGATGACGATATGCTGGTATCTACTACACGTTTGGTGACGTTTTTAAAAAACGAAGCGAATTTGAGCACTTTTTTTGGAGGGTATATATCGAAGCATCGAGCTGTTAGAAATAAAAAGTCTAAATGGTATGTGTCTCAAAAGGACTACCCCCATGTTTCGTATCCTCCAATGCCTTCAGGTGGATTTATGATCACGACCATGAACTTTGTAATCGACTTACACATCGCTTCGCAGTTCACAAAAAGATTTATTCTAGACGACTGTTATCTTGGAATTCTGGCCTATAAACTTCATGTTAAACCTGTGTACATCCGTTCTGTGTATGTTGTACCTATACATAATAGCAGCAGGTTGTTTAACACTAAACTTATAGCAGCACATGGGTATAATCCCCCCAGTCTTAAAAGTGCATGGAAAGCATTGCAAATAAAATTTCATCCGTAGCATTTAATCAAGTTAACAAGTCTTGGTGAATATCGGTTATAAAGTATTTACTAACTGACTTATCTGAAGACGTTTCATTTGTCGATCAATACAATACTGATATTACATTTTGCATAGTTACCAGAAAAAAATTCGGCCAAGTAACACAGTGTGATGGATCGAAGCAGTGCGATTCGACCAACACCGTTATGCCATACAAGGAAACATTGTACATAACTATTATAATTTATGTATGGCCTTTAACAAAGTGCGTCATATTTAGACAAGGAAAGACCTGTAACACACACAAAAGAATACAATGGATACGTTTGACAACACATTAACCTGAACAAAGACGCGAGTATATAAGACGGTAAATTACAAATGAACAATGACAATGCAAACATTACTTTGCCAGAGTTACCAGGGCTGCTATGGATGTGTATCGGCTCCTATGAGCCCTGGAGAGGAATTGATGGAGAGAGTTGGATGGGTTCGTGACAGGAACTCTGGTCTGCCCGGGCATTCCGTTCATACTGCTCTCCCTATTCAACCAATCACACGCGCAGGTACATACTGACATGTACTTGTGTAATAATTAAAATGTTTGACACGTGTTATATGATGTGTAAGTGCATTGAACTTAGTACACATGAGGTACAAGGTTACATGGGCTACATTATTACGAGGGTACACGCCATGTTCTGTAACGGTACTTAACCTGTAGTGTTAGCTTGCTTGGTATGTTAAATTGCTTAATTAATTAATCCTGGCCTAGTTCCAAGGTCACGAATGGGAGATGTTTCCTAACAGCATTGGAAACCATTTGAGCGATACGCTTTCAACAGACTTTTTAATGTTTGATACATTAATGTTATTGATAAAATATAAACAGTCAACTTTCTTTTTAAGCCGCTCTTGGCGAGAGCCGAGCGGCTTATTAATTCTGTCCAGAGAACGAAATGACGGACCCACTTCCGTTCGGGGAGGGTGCGCATAATTCAGTCTTGCATTCCTCCGCTATATAGTTTCGTTATCGTAAATAGAAAGTAGAATCTCTGACACTCACCTGTGGGTTTCATAAAGTCTTCTGATACTCTTCTCCAAATAATAATCTATACCTTAAATAATTGCTGAAAAACAAAATGTTTATCTCCGGTGCATTCTACGAGTGTTGTGGTGGTTAAATTCGTGCACTTGGTTTGAGCGTTTTAGCAACTCGTATTGAGGTCTGAGGAGTGTTACACGTGTGAAACACATATATGATTTGATAAAGCACATGTGAAGACTGTCAAGCATAGACGCTGTCTGCAGAAGGAAGAAGTATATATATATACTTATAAACCGTATGAGTGATGAAGTATAACCTTTACGGGAACGTAATATGACATATCGTGCTTAGTTTGAAAACGGTAATGGCTCTGAGACGAGACGATATGTGAACCGTGTATGCTTATCAAACATTTCTGTAACACAGCATGCTTTTTCTGGTGTATCTATTTATGAAAATGTAATGATTTAAGAACATGACACAACTGCTGCTGCTGTTTAACAAGAATTCGCGCCTTGTCAAAATATTATCCAATATCTGGTGCAAGGGAAATAACTCTTACTTGGTAAAGTCGCATTGAGAAATATAATTCAAATATATTCCATTCAATGACAGTAAATAAAGTCAATACATATATTAATAATTATCATTAATATGAATAAAAAATAAATAAAAATAAAATACAATGTCTCTTTTCTCCATGCATGTTTTCCCACTACTGTTAATTATCCTTCATTTCACAAGCACAAAATGCACCTATTCTTTATTATCCATCACCGATTGCCATTATACATGTAAATGTTCATGTCACATCATTTGAGGATGCTAATGAATGAAAATTACAACAATGCGTCACACTTAAAGAGGGTGCAAAAAAGAGGAGAGGGAGAATGATTTAAAGGCATCATTTAAGAGTTGATTGATTTTGGAACATCATCACATGACCTGATTTTCAATTAGCAGAATACAGAACACATATCTGAGGTATTATAGTAGATATTGATGCTCAACGTGTTACTGAAGCAATTAAATTTAAAGTGGTGAGCGGCTTTAATGTCACACTGACATAATTCTAGTTTAATGTTTATTTTATGTATGAAGTTAGACATTTGTATATCACCAGGTAATGCTATCAAAAGTCATGTCGATTATTTGATTTGTAAAAATATTAAATGTCGTTTTCAATCCTTGACCTGGCCGGAAATGTATCAGAAGGTTTCTTCACACGGATAAACTATGTGTGCACAGAATATTAGAACATATAGATGACCTTTTTTAAAAAAAGGGTGCAATCATTTTAGCAATTAACATCTGTCGTTACATGACATATGCGTTAGAATATATGAAAACTACATGTCGTGAGTCAAGTCTACGCCTTTGTTGTAAAGACTACAGCTGTTAACGATTTTCGATGACATATAAATAATGTTTTCATAATCAATAACTTGTTGTCGGTGTTTATATTACTCTCAGGGTGAAAATTGTTTTCTGCGTTTTTTTGTGTTTATGTTGTTTTTTTTTAACTTAGTCGCTTGCTTCAGACAGAATCGACTTAAGGTCATAGGAGTGTATTGATAAACGGAAATAGGAAGGACATCCCTAGTTGAAAATCCAATGTAGGGAGACAGTATCACAATTTCCGGATATATTAATGTTTAATATTAAACTGATGAATATTGTATGTTTATTATTAACAGCACAGTGTGTTCTTTCAAAATTAAAGTATTTCAAAGCAATCCCGTCATTAGTTCAGGTCTTTTTAATCAATGAGTCACATGTGTCCATTTTTCTGTACTTCAGGAAACCGGCTACCTATTTTACTACTGTGAAGTTTTTCAAGAACGATAACTCTTACGTGCAATTACTGTATGTATATGGTTTTATTAAAAAATGTCATTTTTTAATTGTTTATAGATAATTAATTTTACACAATTTCAGCATTTATGAAATTGAAATACATTAATGCAATACTAATCTATGTCAGTATCATTTTTGTTGACCTTATTTTGCAAAAAAATGTGTCTTTTAATTTTTTTCTCCAAAATTCACTCCTCTTTACATACATTTCCATTTAAAATCCTTAAAATTCTGACAACCTATATTTTTTTTTGTGGCAGAACATTTTCTTTACTTCATATCAATATAACCACAAATGTTTAAGAAATTCTACTGAGAAATGGTGACACAATCCTATATTACCTTAACATGCAAACAACCCTTTCAACATGTACTAGCCCGAAACCACCACCTTTGCTTTGTGTGAAGATACCGGCTATTGTTGTCGTGTGACTCGAAGAAGTTTGCTCAGTAGTGCAGCTGTCACATCTAGAAACAGACAAAATAAGGTGTTATCCCGACTTTACATAGCAGTTGCTTGACACTGACAGATAAGAAGGTCACGTGACCAAACCCGCAGTAATTGTCATAGATTAACGATTACAAAAGCTTAGTTATGAGTGCTGTACACGTAAGATATGTCACAGCTTACTATCAAATTGGATATTTTTCCTGTAAATATCCCGACGACAACACATACTGGAATGCAGTATGGGACACCATTACGTAGTAGTCGCAAGGTTGTTGGCGGTGTATTACACCGTTAACAACTTAAAATAATGCTAATTTTATAAATGAAACGAGTAACCAATGAATTTTTAGCCGAAGGGCAAGTAAGCTCATGTCGTGGCGCGGCGTCCGTCGTCCGTCAGCCCGTCGGTCGTCCGGCGTCAATATTTTACTTAAAACAACTTCTTCTCAATAACCAAAAAGCATGGGTGATGATATTGGGCCTATAACATACTGGGAGGTAAGGCTACCAAGTTTGTTCAAATGAATGACCTTTAACCACTTTCAAGGTTACATGTACAGGCGTCAAATGTGTTAAAATCTTCAAACGACTTCTTCTTAATAACCAAAAGGCCCAGGGTACTTACATTGAACCTATAACATGCTGGGAGGTAGGGCTACCAAGTTTGTTCAAATGAATGACCTCGAACCACTTTCAAGGTCACAGGAGTCAAATGTGTTAAAATCTTCAAACGATTTCTTCTCAAAAACAAAAAGGCCTAGGGTACTAATAATGGGCCTGTAGCATGCTGGGATGAAGGGCTACCAAGTTGTTNTCACTTTCAAGGTCACATGGGTCAAATCTGTTAAAATCTTCAAACGAATTCTTCTCAATAACCAAAAGGCCCAGGGTACTGATATTGGGCCTGTAGCATGCTGGGATGAAGGGCTACCAAGTTTGTTCAAATGAATGAACTTGACCCACTTTCAAGGTGACGGGGGTCAAATATCTTAAAATCTTCAAACAACTTCTTTTCAATAACCAAGAGGCCTAAGATCATGATATTTGGCCATTAACATGATGGGATAAAGGGCTACCAAGTGTGTTCAAATGAAAGACCTACGCCCATATACAAGGTCACAGTGGTCAATATATGTTTAAATATTTAAATGACTTGTTCTGTATAACCAAAAGGTCGAGGGTACTGATATTTTGCCAGAAGTGTGCTGGGTTGAAAGACTATAAACTCTGTTCAACCTTAAGTCCTGTTCGACATTCAAGGTCATATGTTTTAATCTTTTAATAGGTTCTTATGAATCAAACACTGATATTCTGCCTGTAGCTGTATTTTAGTCCACTTTTAAGATAACAAGTGTGAGTTTAATACCAGATGAGTGATTCAGGCCCATTGGGCCTCTTGTTTTTATTTCAGACTTTAGAACAGTCAATGCATTTGTGTTGTTAAAGTAACTGATGTGTATTTTGCGATGATATTGGTATTGCGGATATTGGGACCTGTGCAAGTCTAACACCAACAACACTCAGCCTAAGTAGTCGATATGTCATTTATATGTTAATCGGGGATATTTATCATTAACACCGTAACTCCATTGCTGTTCAGATATAAAGTATACAAATATTGCCAAGTGAAATATTATTTAGAAGTTTTCCTGCTGTAGTATTTTGTTATGTATTTATAACCAGAGTGTTTTTGCCTCCTTTATATCGTCATGGAGGCATTGCATATTATGACATCCCTAACCAACAGCCAAACATGTGTATCAATAGATGTTACAATAAAACTCAAATATTGATGACTGTTGGCCAGGGATCTTTGCCACGCCCATGTGACTAATTAGTGATATAATGGCGGTTACTGTATTTATAATGCATGCAGTGAATTAAGATTACATACCAAATTAAAGTAATTCAACATATTTCAATTGTTTTTCTTCATTTATCTGTCAAATATGTGGTGACATTATTATACTTATCACTAATTGGAGTAGTTCGTGTTTATCCTTAGTATGTCTAAACTGGATTATAGATCCATTGTTTATGGATCGGCAAGAAAATCCTAGTTAACATTGCTGGACACTGTACATCCCCATGACTTGCACTTGGAGCGGTCAACACCACACTATCTGCAAGTCTTTACGTGGAAGCAAACGAATCATCACTATATAATCGCCGAGAGATTATCGACACAATCCGTTAATTTGCAACGATTGATATTACTCCGTGGCTTCTGATTTCAAAACTGCAGTTGTAATATAGGAACTTTTAATGATGATTAAATTATCATGCTACCGTTAGGTGGTTTAAATTAGTATATATATGATAAATATGCATGTCAGTCCTAGTGAGAGTTAAAAATGAATATTTACAGAACTGTTTCATACTGTTTTGGATATTGAGAAAATATAACAAAACATACATATTACTAATTCTGCAAGATATTATATCTAATGCCCTGTATATACATGTACATATATCAATACCTCTTTTTGGCCTCCGCTACCAGCTAATTTCGTAGCCAGAGTTGGCG